GTAGTGATTTTTCATTTGTCGTTGATCCACGACAATGTTATGTTTTTTTTTCAACTCTTCCCCAACATTCTTCCACGACTGTGACTTAAGACTACTACCTTCTCGTCCATTTTTAATTGTCTCGTGTATACAAGCTTCGAGAAATGTTTGGACCAATCCTTCCTTTTTCCAGGTAATCCTACGTTTCTTTTGGTGCGAAGATTCACCAACTAATTCCATACCTAGTCCAAACAATTTTATAAAATAAAAAGTAACATAAAGTTTAGCAAACGAATAAACAGCCCAATAAACATAAAATCTACAAGATTGTAAAGAGAAATTGATCATCCATATAAAGTATAGAGTCTTCTTTTGCATTTTCACAAGGATGATTTGCTTGAAACCAGGGTATGATAATATGAAAGCATACATGAAATCTTTAACAAATTAGAACAGATGGTGCAAGTTAGGCAAGGAATGGCCATATAGCATCAATAGTGCGACAGATGGTGCAGTTCTCCAAAACAGCAAATCTAAACAAATCTAAACAAGTGATAGCAATCTTCAAAACAGCAAATCTAAACAAGTGATAGCAATCTTCAAAAAAATCCCATCTAAATAGTGAAAGCAATATTCAAAAGTGAAAACCCTATAAAAAGCAATCTAGATAAAATCTTCAAAAGTGAAAACCCTATAAAAAGCAATCTAGATAAAATCTTCAAAAGTGAAAACCCTATAAAAAGCAATCTTCGAGAAGCTATGGAAAGAAAAAAACATATTTCTTACAGGAGCAAACCTGGTACAATCGAGACCGATGAAGGTGAGCAAAGCGCGACCGAAGACACCCTCGCCGGAGACGAGTAGCTGAGTATAAACCGGCGACGACGCACCCTGGGAATCGGCGACCGAAGACACCCTCGCCGGAGAAGATGGAGGCGATAACCGTAGGCGTCGATTGGGTGCGGCTGTTCTCAAGGTGTGGAAGGGTAAAGATGGAAGAAAGGGTAATCTGAATGGTTTAGCGAGCTCATACCCTCAAAATGGTTAAGAGGCTTGTGTAACCATTAAGAGGGGTTTTTTTTTTTGCCAAACACAACACAAATCTGACCGATTAAGAGGCTGCCACTTAATGTCACCATTAAGTGGCAAACAAACAGCCCCTTAGTCATTTTCACTTTTGCATGCATGAATTTGTTACAATTTTGGACATAATAATAAAAATAGGCAGTTAAAGGTATATGAATGTATATGAGGATTTTGTTCTTGCGTTCTTATCATAACTCTTATTCTCATTAGAACCCAACTCATGTAAGATAAATGATATATACTTTTTTACTTTTCTGTGGTTATGTACCCAATCCAACATGATGTGAGATTTTATTGTAAATCAAGAATAAAGA